AATTCAAATAACTGATAAAAAAAATAACAAAAGAAAAAAAACTATAGATTCAGATAAAATAAATATAAAAATTCCAGACTTTTCTGGAAATATTTCAGCTAGAAAATTGCAAACATATTGTATAGCTGAACTATAATTAGTTCAGCTATTAGAAGTATTAAATAATAATTGGGTAACATTAGATTTAGTTGATGACATAACGATCACCTAGTTAGAAAATTTTAAAAAAGATGATTGGATAGCATTTATTAATTATATTAAAAGTTAAATTGTTATTGCTTTTAATTTTTTTTATCTTATATAAATTGTAATTACTTTTAGTTTGTAACATAAACTGAATTCGGTTTTTGTTATTACCATATTTTGTATCTGCATGATGCAAATTTTTTTATATATAAAAGATTAAATATCACAATTAATATATATCATATCTGTATACAAATATAAAGATTTAAAAAGATTTATATTATTTAGTATAAAGAGTATTTTAATATATATCCCTTAAACTGTAGACAAATTCAGAGCAAATTTGCCCTGAATTTTATAAACCAATTTTTATATTATTAAAATTATAAAAAAATTATAATTAATACTGTAATTAATTAAAAAAACTAATTAAAAACCAAGATTTAATAACTTTATTTATTTTTTGCTATGAAAATCCTTAAAACAATTAGGCCTTGCTTTAGAACAACATAATGGTATATTGCATTTAATGCACCAAAATTGAGTTTGAGAAATAGCACTACTTTTTTTTTTTTGTTATTTTTCTTATTATTTTTTTGATTATTTTTCATTAAATAATAACAATACAAACATAATTCTCTTTTTTTTCTCCACTCAACTAAATGATTTCCTGGTGAAAACTGGCTTATAGGTAAATTAAAATTTTGAGTAACATAAGCAATTTACTTAGATTTTGGAGGTAATTTTGATATATTTTTTTGTATTAATTGACTTTGAGTTATTCTTTTATTTCTATTACTTTTATCATCCAAAGCTTCCTGAATTAAATCCCATACAATAGTAATTCTAAAATCCTTGTTTGCAGTTTTTGTATTTGTAGCTTTACAATAAAGGATAGAATAATTTACTAGAACTGTATCTAATAACCAAAAAAATAATGGAAACTAGATATGACACATAGTTAATTGACAATTATAGTAATCTCAAAGTTGATCTGCAAGATTAACACCACCTACATAATTATTATAATTATCGATTACACATAGAATAGCTAGTTCTTTCATAACATATTACCAAAAATTTGATGCACTTTATTTATATTACTGCTAGTTTTGCGAGGACGTCTTCGATTACGTATAACTTTCCATTCATCACCTACTATTTTATGAATTGTTGTGAGCATTGTTACAGGTCTATTATCGACCTATAATATAGCTAACATATTATTTGTTACTATTCTACTAAGCATATTCTAATCTAATGAATGAGATTTATTAATTTTCAGTTCTTTAGGAAATTTAGATGAATTAGTTCTAACGGTTCTACAAGCATCAAAATTGTTTTCATGCAAATAGTTAAAAAGAGGAATACTTGAAAAGTAGTTGTTCATATAAATATAGAAAGTTTTATTGTGAGGAAGTTGATTTGACAAGTACCATACAATACATCCGGCTTTATTAATACCATTAATTAATTCTAATTATATATCATTTTCAACCCATGAAATAAAGACAAATGTATAGATATATTCAGCATCACAAAGTGAGAAGATTTTATATCCCTCAGGTATTGGTTTATTTTTAATTTTAATAGTATGTATGCTCTGACCAGAGAAACGAACCATCATCTCATCTACAGAAACTTGAGAGCTAGGAATATAAAAGTTTTTAAAAGAATTTTGTAAATGAGATGCTAAAGGTTCTACCTTAGAGTACCAATATAAATTTGCCTTATGCAAATTAAAAATATGAAAAAACTGCTTTATTTATTGAAATCTAAGCATAGACATAAATTGATTAATGCTATAGATAGATTTTCACTCATCCGAATTCTATAAGTCTTCAACACAATAAATCTTATGAATTCCCATATAAATTATTAAAGAAATCCAAATTTTTAATTTTTTTAAAGTTAATAATATCCAAACCTGACCACCTTTAGACCCTTCTACTCGTTTAATTTTTTCATATTCATTAGTATGATTAACAATCAATTTTAGATAATAATCAGAAAAAAATAGACGAAACAATATAAGTAGACTAATAGTACCACATTCCATTTCAGATAGTAGTGTAGTATAACCTTTGTGAAGTTTATAAATATTTTCTATAGGCTCAAATATTGGTAGTTTAGAAAGAGTTGGTATTTTATTTGATTTAATTTCTTTGCCTTTATTTGATTTGATTTCTTTGCCTTTTTTCGTTCGTTTGTTAGTATTTCTTGCTCTTCCTCCTGCCCTACTTTTTTTTTACTTTGCTTATAAGTTGTTTCTGAACTTGGTTTATACTCAGAATCTGTAGTACTATTCTCCTCTTGTATTACAAATAAATTTTCTTCATCTATATCATCATTATCAATCATATGATCAATAATTGTCTCTTTATGTTTGTTGCGTACAAAATTAACAAAGTATTATAAATTCAAGGAATCATGGTTATCAGAAATAATGGATTCATCTTCAGAAGCATTGTTATCAATAATATTACTAGTGCTAGTAGCAGCATGAGATATTTTTTTTTAGTTTGATACAAGAAAATTGATTAGAAATCAAAAAATATCAATTTTTACATTTAATGAACATATATTTCAGAAGTTAATTTAGCCTTCTGTATTAAACTTTACGTTATATTACATCAATTTAAGTATTGTACACATATATACGTTTATTGTAGTACAAACTATAAGGGGGGTATAATTAGTAAATCTTTGAGGTAAAACAAAAAATTTGATAGGCATCAGAAATTTGAAACAAATTTGCCCTGAATACAGTTTAAGAGATACTAGTTTTTAGTATTATGATTGCAATAATGATTTGTATAATTTACAACTCAGTAATCTATAAAAAGCAATTTAAAAGGTAAATATATAATTTAACATTAGTCTTTGTTATTTTTCATTAAAATGTCTTCTATTAATTATGAAAACAAAAAATACTTATATAAATGCAATTATTGTTTAAACAAACAAAAAGAAGGCTGTTGGTTACTTAAAAAAATACGTGATTCTCATTTACAGTGACAACGATATTTTCAACAAATTAATTCAGAAATAAATGAATATATTAATCTATTATTAGATAGTAATAGTAATTATGAAAATAATAAGTAAGAAATTATAGTAATTTAATTAATTATATATTATTAACTTATTTAATATATTAAATTAATTTTTTTTTTTAGCAATTTAGATTTTTTTGAAGATAGTTCAAATATTGTAAATGAATCTGAATCACTTTATAATGAATCTGAATCATATTATAATGAATCTGAATCACTTTATAATGAATCTGAATTACTTAATAATGAATCTGAATTACTTAATAAAGAATCTGAATTATTTCATAATGAACTTGAATTATTTCATAATGAATTAGAATCACTTCATAATGAACCTGAATCAATTCAAACTGATTTGGAATCAAATTCAGAATTAGAAGAAATACTTGAAAATGATAATAATTTTATTGAATATTTTTCAGACTACTCAGGTAATATTAAAATATTAATATTTCTTATAATTATTATTTTTATATTTACTATTTAAATTATATAGAACCTGAATTTGAAGAATTAAATGATACAATGAAAAAGGCTCTTCAATTACTTGAACTTAAAGCAAAAAAAGGAACCTTGACAAATCAGATATATCAAGAGATATTAGAAATTTTTAATTGTGAAGATATAACATTATATTCAGTAAAAAAATTTTTAAAAAATATGGTTAATTTAGGTGCAATATTTGTAGATATGTGTGTAGATTCATGTTGTGCATTTATTGAGCAATATGAGAATTTATTATATTGTCCTGTATATAATAAATCACGTTATCTTAAACAAAAGGCTCAAAAAAAAGCTACATATTTTTCTTTTGAAGATCGGTTTAAAATCCAATTTCAAGATCAGGAACATGTTAAAAAACTCTTATATAGATCTTTATATCAATCTAATGAAGGATTTTATAATGATATTTTTGATAGTATTTTATATAAAACTCTTTGTCAAGAAGGATTTTTTTCTAATCCTTATGATATTTGTCTTATTGGATCAACTGATGGGTATCAAATATTTCGACAAAAAAGAAATGATTATTGGGTATTTTTATATATAAATGCTAATTTACCTCCTACTAAACGAGTTAAAAAAAAAAATTTACTTATTGCTGGAATAATTCCTGGTCCAAATAGTTCAAAAAAAATAGATACATTTCTTCGACCTTTAGTTGATGAGCTTAAAAGATTAGAATGTAAGTATTTATTATCTAGTATTTTAATTTAATTAATAATTATTTATATAAATAATAATATTAAATTATATTAATAGATGGAGTTAAAATAGTAGATTATAATAATATGAAGTTTATATTATGAGTACACACAATTATCTGGAGTGGTGATATTCCAGCAATTACAAAAGTTTTAAATTTAACAGGTCATAATTCATATATGGCTTGTCAATTCTGTAATATTCAAGGTATATATAATGATCATATTTATTATCCATTAAATTCTTCTTTGCAATCTTCATCCTATGATCTTATTAATCTTCTAATGCATTCTTATGAAGAATATAATAATGATATTATAAAAATTAATCAAATATATTCTGAATCTGATAAAAATAAACAGATAAACTTACGAGGTTAGTTTTTATAATTTATAATTTATAAAGTTAGTTTTTTTTTATAATTTTATAAAATAATATTTTGTATAATTTAATTTATTATTAATTATTTAATTATTTATTAATTAGGAATTAAAGGTGCTTGTGTATTATTTGAACTTAATAGTATACGCTTTCCTGAATTATTTCTAACAGATATTATGTACTTGTTTTTTGAAGGAGTAACACCTGCAATGTATCGTCATTGGTCTGAACAATTTTTTTTATTATCAAAAACAGAATTAAATAAAAATAATATATATTTTTTAAAATCTAATATTTGGGAAAAGATTAGAAAAGATATGATTAATAATTCTCATAATATACTATTAGAATTTGGCATCTACCTAATAATATCAAATATTATAAGGGTTTCAAAGCTGAATAATGAATGAATTAGACAATTCTTTATTCAATTTCATTATTACTTTCATATATGAATAAGGAGTAAATATACTTAGCAATATATAAAAATTTTATTAATAAATTATTTGATTAATAAATTTTTATTTTAGAATTATTAAAAGATGAGCTGAATATGTACTTGCTGTTCAAAAATATTGTTAATATTCTCTTACAGAACATGATATTAATAATATTGATTCATTATTACAAAGTTTTTATTTACATTATGAAAGGTAATAAATAATATTTAATTTTTATATTTTTTAAAAGTAAATAACTTCGTTTAACCAGAGGTAATTTCACCAGTTACATTACAGAAAAATAATAGTTTTGTATAACAGGTAATTTTACTAGTTACACTACATAGAAATAATACAATGCAATCACGTGATATATACATTCATATATTACAATTTTTTTTTTTTTTTTCTCATATTTCATATACCTAATTTTAGGTTCAAAGTTGGCTTTAACGTTTACAAGGTTATTTCAATATTTTTTCGAGTATAAGATTTTATAAATTTTATTGCATATTATTTAAGTGATAGTATTACATAGGTCTGCCATAAATATTGTTCCAATATTATAATGATAATGGATGAATTTAGATCATACCTGAATTATGCTGAATGCAGCAATTCTTATGAGCAAAATAATCTTGGGTAGTATTTAAACTCTGCAGAAGATAATAATTTGGATAGACAAAATTCGTATTTGAACTATGCCAAAGGTGGTAATTCTTATGGCCAAAAGTCATACTTGAAATCTGCTGAAGATGACAATTTGAGTAGACAAAATAATCTTGAATGGTGTTTGAACTCTGTCAAAAGTAACGATTTGAATGAACAAAATAATCTCAGAATGTGTATTGATAGAGAAAAGTGGCCTGTTCAACAACCTAATCAAGATCTTATACTACCTGTGCAAGTAAATATTATACTACTTTATGATTTATTAACTTATATAGTAACTTAATATTGTTTGCATTTTCAGATTTCACCTGTTATAATAACATCGTAAGTTAATGATATAGCTCTAACCAACTTTAATCAACGCTTATCTTATAATAATCAAGTAATGCAAGAACAGTTGAACTCTCAAGAAATGTAGGTATTAATATGTTTTAGAGATGCCAGTAAAAGTATATTAAAGTTTGTGAAATTATTTAGTTTAATTTTACTGGTATCTTTACTTTGATTATTAAATTAATAATCCAAGTAACTTACTTTGATGTTAAATTAATAATCAAAGTAAGTTATTTTGATTATTGAAACAATAATCAAAGTAACTTATTTTGATTATTGACTTTGATTATTAATTTAACATCAGAGTAAGTTACTCTGATTATTAATTTAATAATCAAAGTAACTTGATTAATAAATTCCGAACTATTTACACTATTTACTTAAGCATTTATATTGTTGAATATAGTTTAAATCTAAATGAATTTGAAGTCGACCTAGAAGAACAGTTAATAAATGAAAACTCAAATGAAAATAACTATCAAGATGAAACCTTTGATACAGATCCTTCAGATGAAGAAAATGATAATGTTATGTCTAGATTACGTGTAGGCCAAAGTTTTCAAACATGAGATGATACTGAAAAGTTTCTTAATAACTATGGAAAGGAAAAAGGTTTTAGTATTCATAAGAAACGAAGTGAAACTTTGTCTGAAAATGGATGTAAAAGCTTTATAAGAGTTAACTAGGAATGTAGTTGTATTGGTAAATACTAAGCAAAAAAAGTCTTAAACCCCGAAAATCACCGTAACAGACAATCTAAAGTTACCAACTGTATATGGAAAGTGAATAGAAATTTTTCTAAAAAGTCCTCATTAATTACTTTCACCACTATTGTTGACCAATATAATCATCCAATAACACTATTACCTACAACTACAATTGCAAAATATCGTAAACTTAATAAAGATATGACTCAATTTATTGAATTTTGTGTTAAAAATGAAATTTCAGGTACACAACCTATTGGTTGTTTATTGAAAGAAAAATTTCCTGAAACAAAAATTTATCAAAAAAGTCTTTATAATGCTATTCAAGTTGCGAAACAATATTTAATAAAAAGAGTTCAATATGATGCATCTGACCTTATGTATTATTTGTATTCAAAATGGATGGAGAATTCTCAGTGGTTTGTAGAAAGTAGGTTTAATAGACCTGAACGAAGATTATGTGGGTTAATATGGTTATCACCTGATCAAAAATATTTGTGGACTAGATTTCACGATGTTGTATTTCTTGATACTACATCCTGTACCAATAAATATAATATGGTTGTATGCTTTTTTGTTGTTATTGATAATTGTAACTGATCACGACTAGTTGTATCTGCTCTGTTTAAAGATGAAACCAAAGATAGCTTTATTTGAGTTGTTGTAGCTAAGAGTATATTGAAGTTCTTTTTGTGCAATTATAGTTTTCCATGTTAACTAGCTTGGCCAGTTGCTCATTTGATAGATTTGAAAAAGGTTAGCTGTAGGTAGTAAAAGGACTTTTTCT